ATTTTCCAGTTATTTGTATTAATAGTTTGACCTAATAGTGCAGCAAAATTTGTATTACTAGCCTATACTTCAAATGTTTGGAAGACAAGATGTAGAAGAGAAGAAGATAGAAAAAAAGAAAGGAAAAGGGCATTCACTGTAGGGCAGAGATGGAAGGTTAATGACATTGTGGACGTACTGACTCCCTCTAAACTTCCACGTGAACAATCACAGGTGCAATTAGAGTTTTATCTTATTTTGATAAATGATTCTGAAAGCTTTGTAAAAAATCCAAGGAGACATTTTAAAGAAATTTATGATCAATAACAGCAGTCTCTCAAACACTTGACACAACAAAAGGAAATGATAAAATGAATAGCAATGAAATTACAATTAAAGTAATGGTCTATTTTAATAAAAATATATGGCATTTTTGGCTCCCTGTTATATCACTTTAAAAATCCAAGGGCATTCCATTTCCTACAACTAAAAGAATAACAGCATGTTTTCACAGAAAATACAGTTATTATTCTAAAGAGAAAAGAAGAAAGAACTCTTCTCAGTGGGGCTAAAAAGATATCAAATAATTTGATTCTATATATAATGTCAACTCAAATTTGTCTGTGGCAGATTATGTTTATGGGCACTGTTCAAGGCATTCCCTCCTGCTTCCCTTCTTTATCATGGTCTGGCATTTTTCCTTATCACCCAGAAGGGTTTGATTCCTCCAAATTTCATTCCTCCTTTAGCAGCCAAAAGATGATGGCTTTCCCTGTTGCCTGAAGCCATTTCCTTCCGGCTCTGCCGAGAGGGAAGAGTAAGTTAAAGCTTCAGTGAAGAAATTTCATTGTGCAGGATGGCAAGACACCAAAACTCTCCTCTCATATTCCACAAAAGTAGTCTATCCACATTCTGTGAACTCTCTCCCATAAATCCTCATATGAAAATTATTTTTATACAATCGTATAATATCCATTTTATTATGACCTTGCTATCTTAAGCGGTAATCTAACTCTACATAGTTCTGAAGAAGGAAGCTCTAAAACCTCTGTGTAAGAATAAATTAGCTAGTTTGTGACCTAAAATGGAGGGCCATCTTCAATCAGTACACAGATGCACTCTAACACATTACAATAACCACAACTTGTCACCCTAATAGCAAATCTAATGAAATCCCTGGTGACAATTCACAAAATGGTTTAGTCCTTAAAGAAGAAACATGATTGCCCAATTCTTTACCAAAACACCCAACAGTGTGGCGGGTCACTTGCTACACAAAAAATACCACCAATCAAAACTGGTCACCTAACAGAAAGCTAAATTTTCAACCAAATGTTAATAGTAAAACTACTTGTTTGTTTAACATCTTTAAGCACAGCCTCAAAAAACATAATGGAGGGATTTATTGCCACACAAAGAGTGTGTGTGTGTGTGTGTGTGTGCATGTGCGCACGCGTGCAGAAATTCCAATATAAATATGATACTATCATTAACCAGCATGAATTTTGAAGCCCTCTCTGCCCACAATAATACTGATGGATCTTCATGGATTAGCCCACAATGTCTGTCTGAGCCTTCCTTAGTGAACACTTTGGATTTGCGAGATAATTTGCCCCTTGAGCCTGGAGTAAACACCATCTTGAAACCTGCAGGCACTGGATCTATGGCTTCACCTCATATTTCCACCAAGTGAGCTCACTTAAGTATCGATATTTATTACAAACCAATATTTTAAATTTAGCGATTATTGAGGGACTTCACATTCTTGGTAAAGGATACAGATTTAAACCTAATACAGTCATCATTATATTTTAGGAGTCATTCATACTAAAGTTATATTGGCTTAGGTCAATTTCTTGGCAGAAATACTCCAATTTTTCTTTAAAATATATTTTAATCCAATTGTGGTCACTGCGTTCCTAAGAACGCATGATATAATCTACTTAGCTTTGAACACGTTATTGCCTACACTGCTGAGAGATGGGAATACATCTCAGGATATTTTAATTTTACCTCCTCAAAATCATAGTATAGGATTGTACATGTACCAGATACTCAACAAATAAAAAAGAAATTTAATCATAAAGTTTACTGGGTTGATGTGCTCTATGGTGAAATGAGTCATATCTTTGCACTTTATTATTTACATAAATACGTAGGAAGCCCCCAGTACTTCATGCCAGGCACTGTTCTGGAAGCTTGGTCAATGACAAGGGCTTGGTCTCTGTTCCTTTGGAAAATATGATAGACAAATCCACAAAATATCTGCATGCTCTAATACGCACTATGAAGGAAGGAAACAAGACACCAAGACAGAGACTAACAGATGACAGCCAGCTTTAAGAAGGTGATCAAGAATGGTCTCTCTGAGGGAGAGAACTTTGAGCTGAGATTTGAAGTTGGAGAAGGAGTTAGCCATTCAAAGAGTAGAAGGAACAGTCCAGGCACTGGGAACAGCATTTGAAAAGGCCTTAGGAAGTGAAATTACTCCAGGTGTCCCAGGTACTAAAAGACCAGTGTGGCTGGAGCATATAAATGAGGGGGAGATGGGTTCGGCGCGGTTGTAGAACAGGGCCAGATCAGAGAGGGAGCTGCATGCTGACAGAAGGAATTTGTTGTTGATCAGTTTCTGTGTTTCTGCATTTATTCCTTTTTTCTATGCAGTCATGAGCCAATGAATGCTTTTAAGGAGAGGTATGATGGTATTGCCTTGTGTGGAGAGTGAATTGCAAGGGAGCAAACCATGGAAGCAGAGAAACTAAAGTGAAGCCCGGAGCAGGAATCCAGGTAAATGACAATCATGGTCTGAACTACTCTGGTGGCAGTGTGGATAAAGAAAACAAGGTGGGAGAGATATATCTGAGAACTGTAATTGCACAGAGATAAGATATTGGGAGATAAGACTGATAGATCTAAATATGGACTGGATACGGATGAAATGCTCTCATGAGGAAGAAAGAGAGCAATCAACACTTGACGGATGGTGAAGACATCTATTCAGATGATGAAGATTGGGGGAAAGGATCTGAGACAGTTTTAGGGAAAATCATAAGTTATTACCATTATGAAATTGAGAATGATCCATTTACATTAATAAACTTTAAGCTCCTTTACAAAGTCATGCCTCGTATTAGAAAAATACCATACAAATCCTTCCAGCACTTCCCATTCTTTCATATATCTAACAGGAACAGAAATTAGATAAATATTAATTATTTTATTCATGCAAAATGCAAGATTCTATTTTCTTTCCTTGCCAAAGAGAAAGTGGGTTGGTCTACTTCTGAATTTCTTACTTTTTCTTTGCTGCCAAAACTCACCTCAGCAACAGGTAGCAAACACAGAAGCACTACCACAGGAGGACTCCCATGATTACCTCTGGGTCCTAGGAGACACAAGGATGCTCTTGGCAGACAGCCAGACCTGACATCTTTCTTCTGTAGAAGCATCAGGTACCGTGTAAGCCATAGGAATCATGGCGTACTGTATACCTGGCCTCTCTAAAAATATGCCACTGTGTCCCAGGACTGCACAGTGGTTCCCTTCTAAAGGGGAATTTCCAATAGACAGGTATTTTAAACATCTCCACAATACAAAAAGTTATCTTAGGCAAGACTATTATCAGTTGTCTAAACAGAGGGGACACTCTCCATTACATCAAATTCATATTTTGTCTACCTTTTGTTGTGAATAAGTTATAGAATATATATGTTAGAAACAGTCATGATAATTCCATACATAGGGATCAGATCAGATTTCAAATAATCAACAAAAAGTTTCAAAACTCCTACCTACCACGGTTTCTAAGAAAGCGAATGCTTATTTAAATTTTTAAAAACAATGGAAAAAGAATTAGAAGACTTTCCAATAAAATAAACTATTTAATAATTGTATTTGGTTTGCAGATTCTATAGAGAGAGGTTTTATTGATGTTAAAGCAAAAATCATTAAAATATACTTTAAATTACCAAAAGAAAGAAAGAAAGAAAAACAACGTCTTTCTCCTGCCCACTGGGACGCAGAAGAAATAGAGAAGAACATTAATTGTGTTTCTAAAAAGAACTGAAGCTCCCAACACTGACACACAGAAACTGAAAATCCATCATTCTTTTAAAAGCTTATGTTGATTTTATTTTATTGAAGTGAGCTTTTTAAAAACTCCCCTCACCTTCTCTCATATAAAAATTGCTCTTAGCTTCAGAGGAGATATAAAAGACTACGAAGGCTGCAACTGTAATAAAAAAATACTAAAATAATGAGTAAAATGTTCCCTGTAATCACAAAAGTTGGCATTATAAATTTCTAGTTTGGTAATCTTGCTTTGATCTTTTAATTATTTAATACAAGTAATGAAAATACCTATTTCTTTCTAAAAGTAAATGACAGTTTCAGTTGAAGTCGATAAAAAGTTAAAATGATTCTGAATCTTACCTGAATTTCCTTAGAAAATGTTCATTCGTTTGAAAAAAATAAACTGTGTCGCGAAATGGGGCTAAGCCGGCTTGTCAATCATGTGTGTTTGCGTGCTCCGGAGGGGTGCGGCGCTGCTCCGCGGGCCCCACAGGTAGTATCAGCTCTGCTGATTCTGCACACTCACCTTTGCAGATGGGAAATATAACACATGCTTTCTGCTCGTAAAGAATACGACTTGCCCCTGGAACCTAAACCCACCCAACAACTCTGCTAGCGTAGACAGAAAGAAACAACAGACTGGAAACCATCAGGTATAGGTGCCTTGCCTTTCCACATTTTCAGAACCCGCCAGCAAATCCACAGGGTCAAAACCAGCAAAAGACCGGCCTTACAATAGGAATAGTTGCCTTTCCAGCTCCTCTTGCTCCAATTGCTGGGACCTCCCCGCCCAGCTTCTCCCCTACTTTCCAGGTGGCGTAACACCGGGTGGCCAAAACCCAGAGACGTGAAAATGGACACAGGTGGGTGTGGCGGTTGAGGAGAACACTGGCGAGAGACTGGAGGATTCCCTGCCCGCCAACCGGAGGAGCAAGAGAAAAGGCACTTACTTGCAAGCTTGCCCGCCGATCATGCCCACGCAGAGAGCCCGCAGCACCTGGCCCCAGGGGAGGGCGCGGGCTTCAGGGACCCTTCCTCGCTCCCGGCCTCTCTCGCCCGGCGTTCTCTCTGCTGCTGTTTCTCCCTCTTTCTTTGGGCTCCTGTTGCTCAGCGGGCGCCTGCTCCTACCAGCCACCGGCACCCAAGCTAGCCCAGCCCCAGCCAGCCCAGCGGGCGCAACTGGAAACCAGACACCCGCCGCCGGAGCGCTGGCGAGGGCCGGCGTGGAGACAGCGCCCCTCCTTCCGGGGCGCGCCCAGGGCAGCGGCAGCCCCGCCTCCCGCGGGCAGCAGCGCCGAGGTGCTCCTTCCACTCCTCCCTCCCCGCCCTCGCCCCAACCTCCTCCCTCTCGCATCTCTCGGCTGGCGGCGCAGGGCGGGGACCCGCCTAGGGGCGCGGTGGTGGAGATGCTGCATGCTGCATCCAGTGCGCTAGTAGAAGGCAGAGGAGGGGGTCGCACGACTTCCCATGCGCGGATACCCCGTTGGGTGGGGTGTGTGTGTGTGTGTGTGTGTGTGTGTGTGTGTGTGTCCTGCAGCCAGAAGAGCCCTTCCCTTACCTCACCCCCGCCCCCATCACCCCTTCCTCCCTTCCTGCTCAGCAGAATCTGCTAACGTTTCTGAGAAGCCACTTAGTATGGCTTGGTGGGGAGCAGGCGGAGAACTCCGGGCGGAGGAGGTGGGGACCAATGGCAAAGGCCCGGCCAGTGCCTCCTGGGCCCTGGGCTCTGAGGATTCAAGACTGGGAATTGGTTCCTTGCCTGGGGCTTTGCCCACGGAGACTGGGGCAGTGGCGCGCAAGACCTGTCTCCAGGCTGCGATTTTTCTTTTCTTTTTTATAATAGATCGTTCGGATTGCCGAGTCTTCCAAGCAGGCAAGGAATGAATTTTCTTTCAAAGGTGGAGTGAAGAGTCAGAGGTTGTTGTGGGTGGAGAGGGAGATTGGAGTAGAGGATGCCTTTCCAGACCTGGGACCCGCTCATTTGGATACACCATCAGTCATCGCTTCTGAGTTTTAACAGCTGGGTAGGAGCGACTGTGAAAAGAAATCTTTATAAATCCTTTTGTACGGGGTGTGTGTTGTGTGTGTATGTTTTCTACAGCAGCCTGCTGGCAGGAAGAGCAATGAAAACAGGATTGAATTATCTTTCTCAAAGACAAACAGGAAATTTCCACCAAGGGGAGAAATCAAAGGATTAGGTTGGGGCAGGGTGGATTACTGGATTCAAGCCTTTGAAACAGGCAGATCACTTTGCAGTATATATATGAGTGATGGACATTGGCAGCTGTAGTGTTAATTTGCTTCCAAACCTTGTATTGTGTAAATACAGGATTTTAAGCCCCAGGGTTTACCTTTCTCTGCTGCTTACCAAGCTTCAGAGGTTTGCCCTGGGGCTTTGGACCTTATATTCTTGACTTGTAAGATGTGCTATTGAAGGAAGGAAACTTAGTTTCTGAGGCTGTCTACTGAAGGGTGAACTGGGTCACTAGTGAGTAATTCTCAACGCCACATCATGGCCAGCTCACCTTCTCTTCTGTGACTGGTTGCAGACAAAGGAGCAAGAGTTCAACTGTACTAGGAGTGACAGCCTTTTTGATTAGATGCAATCAATGCCACTTTCTTTCTTTGCCACCTTGAAGACCCCCTTCAACTAAATTGTCTGATGCACTGAGATGTAAAATGAGCTCAGTCAACCCTTTTTCTTACAGTTTTCTGACATCTGATCTCCATCATATCAGGGAATAATCCATATGACATTTAGAATAATTAGAACTCACAGGATTTTAAATCCATGTCACTTTTTTCCTTGAGAAGATAAATTAGAACATAAAACCTCTAGCTGATTAAGACAATTTAAAAAAATGGTCAATGTCTCTAAAATTATAAAATGTGTTCAAATGATTAGTACAGATTTGCTCAACAAATTCCAAAATACTCAAGCTTTAAAGAAGCAATCAAGAACCAACCAGATACTGTACGTATTTTAAATATAGAGTGAGCTTATTGGATTTATTATTCCTAGAGATGAGGCAACATGAAAACAAAATAGCTTTAAGATGAATCCATAAATAATGGCACCATATAGAATTATTATAGGAAATTAGGATCACCTTTGGTGGTTAACATCACTTGGGATAGTGACGGAATATTAGGCTGGGTCATCCAGTGGTTTAATGAAGTGAAGCAATTTTTAATAGTGGATGAAAAAGTACTTCCCACCAGTGTGGTAAGAAAGGAATTTGGTATCCCTCTCCCCTGCCACTAAGAAAATAATAAATAATATACACCATGCTTTGTCAATGAGTGTGTGTGTGTATACACATATTCCACTCTAAGAGTCCGTTTACAAATACATGCTATTCTCGGTGTACCTAGGTTCTTGCTAGGGGTTTTCAAAAATAAAACCTCCTTGTCTGTCTGAGGGATCCCTGGTGAGATTTTGCCTGTGAGATCATTGACAAAGCATGGTGCATATTATTCAGTATTTTCCCAATTCTCTTTCATCTCCCAATTATTTATTTACCCTCCATCTATTTATTTTTTGTGCCATTCTTACTTTCTCAAGCATTTTGTAATCTGTTGCTTTTCATCTATGAAGTTTTGTTTTTATTGCTCTTTCAGCATCTCTGGGATTTTTGTCTCTGTTTAAATCCAGAAAAAGACTATCTGAGTCTATTACTGAATATTATACTAAATGCACCTGAGAGTTTGCCAAATACTAAGTGGTAGTGTCACATGTAGACATAAGTAGATAGTGCCATTGGCAAGGTTAAAGAGTAGGCTTGAATTATAGGAGGCAGAAATGATACCTGGTTGAACCAGCCAACAACCAGTAATGTCCTGAAACTATTCACAACTAATCTTCTATTATTTGGGTAGAAAAAAGTAGAGGTGTTTATACTTTGAAATTAACTAATATTATACTTCAAAACCAGAATAGGAATAAAGAATTTTATTTTACTTAGTGGTAACATGCAAATCCACACTTCCATCTCTTCCACAATTGCTACTCCAGTTTTCAAAACTATAGTTTCTGGAGGAGAAATAAATAGACAGTAATATGAAGATAATAAATTAAACAATACAGTAGTGATAGAGTTTATTTTTTCTCATTAAATAGAATTAGAAATATACATTTATCTTCTCATATCTGCTACATGGAAATACTCGAATTAAAGAAAAAACAATTATGCTGTTGTGAAAATGGAAGAAGAAAGCTACAAATTTTTCGTGTACACAGAGCTAAAAAAGTATGATTCGAAAGCAGGTTTTCAAAGTAGGATTAAAAAGAAATATAACTATAATTAAAAACATGCTGCAATATACAAGGAAGATTCAGACGTAGGTTAGAATAATAAGAAAGATTGATAAATTATGCATAATAACAGAAGAAAAGTGATTTCCTAAACGTATCAGCATCAGAGTGTTTGCTGGTCTAATTTGACATGGTCTGGGCTTCTGTGCCAGCAAACCTTGTGAAGAAAAATACACGTGTTTTCTCTTGCATGTAGTAGATGCTTAGTAAGAATATTGATTGATCAATCATGAAGAATTTTTCCCACAAGGTCAAACAGCCCACCAATGGGTCCTTTACCAGAACAATGCTTTTACTGATGATGCACTTTCTGTGGAATGCTTTTTGATCAAAACTGCTGTTACCAAAACCCCCTTCCTGCTAAAACCTTAAGCTAGACAAGGTTACACAATATATGAAACATCTGTTTTTAGACTTTGGGCAACGTGATACATAAGGCTGATTCCTGAAAGAAGGGAAATAAACAAGGTGAATCCTAGGATGGTCCCAGCTTACTCAAGGAAACTGGTTTCCAGACTGTGGCACTGGAAGTGGGAAACCCAGAAAGAGCCCCACAAGCTCCCTGAATCGAGAAGACAGAAAATAAAGTTTGAGAGGCTGAGGCAGCTAGAATTTGTGGACAGAGTACCTGAGAGAAGGGAACTGCACAGAGCAAGGACGGCAGAGGTCTGCAGAGGAGTGCTCTCAAGTTTGGCATTGATACTGATGTGCAATTGTGTGAGAACAAAACACCTAAGGCCAGGGAAAGAACTAATGGAAAGCAGCAGGTCAAAAAATTCCTGGACCTCACACAGAGCTAGAAATAATTTGTGCTCCCCCAGCCAAAGTGGAAAGACCTTGTCCCGTGTGAGTTTTGGGTAGGATGCATAGAAGGATATTGTCTTAGGAGTGGGGCTAAATTAGCTTTAGATTAAAGTTGCTGTGGATTTACCCTAACAAAGCTTAAAAGCAAGAATTAAAAGGACCCAACTGGTTTCTTCTTGCTTAAATGCTAGCTGGAATAAAATCCAACACTTTCTAAAAGACCTAACAACATAAAATTAACACTGACTGGCACCCAATTTAAAAAATGACCACACATGCAAAGAAGGAAAATGTGACCCACAGCCAGGGAAGAGTCCGTCAAAGGAACAGACCAAGAAATGGCAAAGACAAGGGAATTTACTAATTAGGATATTAGATTCCATATCATAAGTGTGCTCTGTATGCTCACGACAGTACAGAAAACTCTGAACACCATGAGGAGAGAAATAGAAGATACAAAACCCACCAAAATGGAACTTCTATGTATCAAAAATACAGTATCAGAAATGAAAATTCACTGAACTTAAAAGCAATATTCACTTGGAAGGATATTTAAGGAATATATATGTATATGCAAAATAGAAAAGTAATGACCCCTGTAATCCCAATCTTCACATACTAACAAATTGACTGCTGTCTTTCTAGACTTTTTATTCACCTGTATAAATATATCACTATTATTTGAAACAATAAAATATCAATGCAATAATACTTTTAATAATATATTAATAATTATAACTATTGTATTAATAATATTAATGCAACAATAATAATTACATTAACACAATGATTGCAATCCCTATGAATTACAATAATTTGTAGGGAGCTGTGATCATCCTTAACTTCGTAACAAGTATTTTAATGTATTATATTTGCCTAGCATATTATAATTATCAAGTTCACCCTCAAGGATCAGCAATTTTCTTTATTAAAGATATATAAAAGAGGTCCTGAAGAGAGCTCCAGAAGGGAAATTTTAAAATATTTCAGCAATTATCACTAGTAAAATCAAGATGTGATTTCCCCAAGCTCATTGAAACAGCTATTTCAATGTATTACTTCTAGTATTTTTACTAAATTGGAACTTTCAT